TGAATGCATGCTCAACATCTTGGAAAATTGCAAGCCTATCAGTTCCTAATGCTCCCAATCGGCATGTACTTGTTCAGAAAAGAACAGAAGCTCATTAGTTCTTTGCATGCATTCAAACCTATGGGCTGTTGTGTCACCCATCTGTGACAATCATCTGGGACAGAGCTTCTAAATGGAAACTGCCATAAGATTTAGGGTCTGCAATCAACTTATTTTGCAACTTGATCATTTACCCCTTGAATGTTGCAGTAAGAAAAGTCCCTCTGACTGAAGGAAGCAATACACATATTATACATTAGCTTCCTTCCCTGACACATGAACAATCCAGATAGCAGATCAGTGCTGTTCCCATACTACCCTATCCCATTCCACCCAATCCCTGTTGCTTGGAGAGCTAGAGCTCACCTGATTTTTTTTGCAGGCACAGGATTGACCACCTATAACACACACAAAGTCAGACAGACTATTTGTTTGATCCCATTTACTTGCCACCAAGGACCTTAGTTCCTTAAGCCAAATAAACTACCTTTAAAACCACGTAAATAATGACCAACAAGTATAAATATTTTTTATAAAATTCTGAAACAAACTAATTAGCTAGTTACTTCACACCCAAGTTCTATGAATTTCTCTGCATGTCCACCTGGCAGACAGCTGCATTATTTATTTGCTATCACACTCAGTAAATTGGTCTACTGGCATTTAGAGGTGTCATCTTTACTCATTACAATTTCAATGATCACTCCAGTACTGCCAGCATTGAACAAATGACCTGAGTTCTGACTATAGCTTTTAACCTCTGCTAACCACAAAACCTGCAAGATTGAATTCCACATATAAAGCAGTAAATGAAGAGAGAGAAGAAACTCAAGGACTAGGCTGCTTTGCTTCAAAGTTCATGTATCTCTACATGGTAACAATTTGATGAAAAAGTTAATTTAATGATTCTTAAGTGGAACACAATTTTTTGAGCTCAAGGTAAAACATCAGAACTGCAGACACTGCAATGCAGAACTAAGGTAAATGGGCTTCATAGACAAGAATGGGATTATATTATGCATATATTGATGAAAAACTACCCAACTGGTGGCATGTCACAACCACTGTCTCACAGTGGCAATAGGAATGTGACTGCATCCTCACAGATAGACCACACTGGCCTGGAAAGTCTGGGGCAGATGTTGCTTACCTTCAGCCACATCATCTTCATGTTCTCCCCAGTACACTTCCAAACTGTTTCAGCCACAGTGCCAGACACCAGAACTCCATTTCTGCCCCAAGATATTCCAGGCTAGCAAATAACAGCAGCCCCACACCAGCTGACACTGGGAATTGTTTAAAAATGAGCAATAATGATTCAACTTGGAAAACTTACCAAAACATAAGGCATTCAAGACGCTCTAGACTATGCTGTAGCACATTCTAAGTGACACATGCAAGAGGTTTTAAAGAAAAGTCTCCATGCATATCCAAGCTCCCTAGCAAAGCACAGGCTGCTGCGGGCTGCCATGCTGTAACTGCCCCCAGGTGGCACACTCTAGCACAACCTCGCAGGCCAACAGCTCCAAAACCATCACCACCAAGGAGCTTCTGCTGAGAAAATGACCACCAGCATCTCTCTCATGCAACAGTGCCAGCCAGGAAGTGCTCAAAGAGTCAGGACAGCATCTTGGGAAAGAAAGGATGTACATGTAGAGGTCCAGAGCTAACAGGAGCATGCACATGTGCTTCATCTGGAAATTGAGCACCAACTGAAATAACATCACCTCCTATCCACTGACACCCCTGGGCAGCACAGGAACTAAACACAGTGGGGACTTGTGACTCACAGCCACACACATGTATACAACCATAGCCAAGCCAAACTGCAGGAACAGTTAGAATCTTGATCACAGCTCCACTAGAGAAATAAAGTAACCAAAACTATTAGGCTTGGAAAAGTTCCAGCTCTATGAATCTGACAAAGACATTTACAATGATAAAAGAATAATAATGTCCAGTAAAATCCCTGTACATAAGAGCACTATAAGAGTTTTATAGTCAGAAATCCAAGGGAAGAACATTTTAAACAAGTTAACATGTAACTCATAAAGAAAAGGAGTAGCATGTCTTTTCAATTTCATAAGCTGAAGTTTAACTTCACAGCTGTCTGTACACTATCATATCCTTCCTGCCAGACTAAACATCTCTGATTTACTGCAGGTCAGAGATATGGGATATTTTTGATGAAAATTAACGCTAGGCTTCAATAAAAACAGCCCTATATCCCTTCTGTGATAGCTAATTTTTGATACTTTGATCCACTTTGCATTTCTATCCTTCGAAGAAGGCCTAACATGAGAAGGAATTAATAACACCATCCACCAACAGGGATGCATAACAGTAAGACATACTGACATGCTTGCTCTTTTTATTGATCTATGCAGCAGGTTGTTATTTGAGGTAACATTAACAGACATGTCACACCACTTAGAGAAAAAATTAATTCACAGTTTTTGGAAAAAACATTTGGCAGAGAGCTGCCATCTGCACCAAGATTAGAAAACCAAGCTATTCAAACATGCATAATTTACTTAATCTTATCAAGATATTTGAACATTACAGGCTTTTTATTACATTTTCCAAGAAGTATCACTTTGCATAACTAATATTATATCCATCTGGAAAACTGACATTTGAAACAAACTTGCCTTTTCAAGTCCATACCACCTTGTTATATTGGCCTCTTCATACATGCTGAGCATATGACTTCTGGAAGCTGCTTTTGGGAAATGAGGCTAAGGGGAGAAAAAAACTATACAGACTGCTCAAATGATGACAAGAAGAATTTTAAGTCTCTCAAAAATATGTACACTGAAGTGTTTTGATGATTCCCGCTATTTTTCCTCTTTATTTTAGAATCAGGCACAAGAGAGGAGCTTAGAGGAACCCCTTTTCTTGAATAGGTTCAAGAGCTTCAAGAGGTTAAGAATTTCACAGCTGATTAGGCTGACAAAAAGCTCCAATTTTGGACCAGTCCAAGCAGTTAGTGACATAAAAGAATTTCCAACACAACGTGCACTGGAGTCAGAGCCTATCTGAGATCCCACACCTGTTGGAGCCCAGGTACTGGAGATGGAGACTAAGGCCACCCATACTTTATTTGAAAAACAAAACCAAACAAACAAAAAAAAAACCCATCTTCTGCCACCCTGCTTCTGTCACTCTCAGTGATCACTCTTGTTTTGAAGGGGCAGCCCTTTGCTGTTTAAACCTGGGAAAGGTAGAATGAAGGTTTCAGACTTTAACTAAACAACATAGCTGTTCACCAAGCCTTCTTGATTATAGCACTTTACCTAACCACAACATTTAAAATACAAAAAAGATTATTTCCACTTTATCCTGAGCCTCCCCTGACCAGCACACCTGAAGCAGACATCAAGGAAAGGGAGCAGTGTGCAAGAAAGAAAACCCTAGCATGATTAATTAACAGCGCAGTCAAAACCAAATAGGCTTTATTAGAGTATCATTATGCTTTACTGTAACAGATCAGTGACTCATTCAGGCTAAGGCTTTGGAAAAAAGTAATTGTAAAGTCCTTCTGCACAGCCTGGAAGTTTCTAGTTCGAGCCCACCAGGCCTTTTTGGACATTTGCTAAGCTCTGGAAAACTATAAAGCATAGGCTTCATAGGACTGTGCTGCTGTGTGTTCTGAGCTGCTGAGCAAAGCATAAGAGGGGGACTGTGAAGCAGAAATTAAATTGCAAGCTGGCTTAGCCATTTGCTCTAGAAAAACAAGAGATTTTTTGGAAAATCGTCTAAACAGCTGAACCAAGAGGCTGGATGTGAACCATTCACCCAATGAATGCTCAGTAATGAAACATTATTGTGCACTTTACTTTAGTCTTATGTTAAAACACCATCTTCAAATCTACTTTTCTGAATTCCTTTGTGTGCAATATTTACAATGCCCACTTCTTATCTTAAGGTAGCAGCAGAAAGAATATCTTCTTTGCACAAACAGATTTGGACAGACTACAGAAATTTGCCAAATATATTGGTTTTGTTAGGGCTGAGCTTAAACTTAGTTTCGGTTTCACATAGAATGAACTTCTACAAACTGCTTTGTAAAACAAATGTATTATGTTGTATTAAAACAAGTGATTGTACTACCTCAAGTAATAAACTGGAACATCTATGATAACTGAGAGCAGCAGAGATATATACTTGAGTAAAACAGTACATTAGGAAAAATTATGTCCTAGAATGATCCATCTTAATACATAAGGAAACACCTTTTTACTATGAGGATGACTGAGCACAGAGCAGGTCAGCCAGAGAAGCTGTAGAGTCTCCATCCTTGGAGATATTCAAAAGCCACCTGGGCCACAGGCAGCCCACTCTAAGATGATTCTGCCTGAGAAGGGGTGTTGGACCAGGTGACTTCCAGAGGTCCTTTCCAACCTCAACCATTCGGTGCTTCTAAAATTTTTCTCAACATAAAGTCCCTTACTACCATCCAAAAAGGTAGCCGACTTGTATAATTTGTGAAACTAAGGAACACTTACATCAGACGTGCTTTTCCTCTCCTGGAGGGATAAATCAGAGCTCTCCATGTTCTCACTGACAACCCACTCAGGCAAGGTCACAGGTGGATACTTTGCCTGGCTGGCCCAGATGTGGTTACTGGTAGTATACAACAGCAGTCAGCCATCTGATCTACAATGTTTTATTCTACAAGCCTTTTTAACAGTGGCACTGTCAAACAGGTCTCTCCCCACCTCCATCTACCAGTTTTTGTAAAACTTAGCCCAATAGACACCTTTGTGTCTATGTTCTATCAAACTGGAAGAAACCATTTGGTGGATACAGGTTCTAAGTGAGGAAACTGACAATTCAACACATAACCCTTTATTTATGTTGGAAATCAAGTTAAAAACGTTACAAGGAGTGTAATCTTCTGATGAACGAAGGTTGTGTAACATACACTAAGCATTCAAGAGTAACAGGAGAAGCATTACCTGCTTGTAGTTCTCTGGCTGTCTAATGAGATCTGTTTCTGTGACAGAAAAATGTCCAAGACTCTGGTCCATATGGGAGCCACTAGTGAATAAATGGATCTGGAATAGATAAAAATTAAGATACTTGTCAACACAAGGTCCAGATTATTAACAACATGATTAGCTCTCATCTAGAATAGGGATGTGAACCAGTGGTTACAAGCCCATTCCTAATGGACAAGTATAAATGTAACTACTAACACCACTGCATTACTCAAACAGCCTGCACAAAATGATGATCGTGCACCACAACCACCTCACAGAATGATCCATCCCATAGTTACTAGAACCACATGGAGGAATTGCTACTGCTGTTGCCACTGCAAAACAGAAAGATTTCTCATCCTGTCTTAAAAGGTTTTTTCCGCCCACTACACACACACTCTTGTGCATAGCATGAAAGGAGAAACCATTTACAGTCAGCAGAATTCTTAACAGAGGTAAAGGATACCCTTATAATAATTTGTTATTTCTTCCTTTAAAACAGAACATGCTACGTAGTTATAGCAAGTTTCTCTGCTGCTGCTGTATCTTGTTGGCTTTCACTTACTGTGCTGGTGATGGTAGTAGCATCAATTACTTGACGACAAAGCTTCCCAAGTTAGTCAAGGGAACAATAAAAAGCAATTCCTCCCATTCAGAGCTGATCCCTTTGTTACTGGAATAACTGCAGCTGCCAAACAAGATCGCAGCGCACATTTGTCAGACAACTGCTCATATTTCATTAATCTTTCTGCCAGAAGACAGAGCATGTTTCCTACTTTTCCTCCTTTATTCTAATACGAATTTTATCATACACTTGGGTATTGACAACTATTTTAAAGTCAACAGGCACTAAGTAATTATCAACTCTTCCCTGAAACTTCAGAATATTTTAGCGTTCCTTTCCCAAAACACACTTCTGGTGACAACCATCTGTCACATGTGCAGAGCTATGTGGGTTTAAAAATAAAAGAGCACCTCCCCACACAATGTTCTTCCTTTCTACTTGCCACTCCTCTCCCTGATGCATTCTTGTGTAACTCTGGCTGCCAAACCTTTGAGCCTTCAGCACCAGGGATGAAGTTCAGCCCCTCTTCAAAAGTATGTTGCAGCAGCATCACTGGCTAAAGCCCAAAACAAATACTCCAAAGCTGTAACAACAGAGAAATAAGGTGTTCCCCTGAGACCAGACTAGATGGATGCTGGAATAATCCAGTATTGGTATATTTACAATCTGTTAGTGATAACCACAACATATTGAAGATGAAACCAGGCTTAAACAGAGCAAAAATACCCAGGTAAAAGGAGGCAGTGAAAGGGTGAGAAACAGAGCACATATGGTTGTTGCTTTGTGGCACTGAGGTGGAGGCAGGTCTGATTTAACCTTACACAAACCTTTGCATAAGAGTACAGGCACAGCCCCCCACTGAGCATCATTTCTGGGGAGTTTTCAGTACCAGCTTCTAAACATTCTTGAGCTTAGACACCCTGCAGGGAGATCAGCTTGTCTAATTCACCTAAGAGAAAATGAAAAGGGGGCTTTTTCATAGTTCACACACATTTGCATGAGAGGAAAAACATCTACTGCATTAAAGAATATGCTATTGAGATTTAATGGTAATTCACTTTAGGAGAAAACAAAGATTTTCCAATTAAATATCTCAAGACCAAAAAGATGCAATCAATAGAGAGTAACCTGGTAGATTCTTCATGCCAAGACACAGATGCATCTAACAACTGCAGTTTACTTCACTCATAAATTACTGACAATGAGGTAATCACCCAGAACCAGTCTCTGCCCTCTGTTATTCAGAGATCAAGTCTTTGTCTTTGTCCCTTTACTCTTTTACTACAAAATAAGATATATAGATATGACCAATCCACTGTAATATATCTTATTTTATATTGTTTATCTTAGAGGAGACACAAGAAACTACTCAGTTGACAGGAGATATTTCCCAGTGCTGCTCTGCATTCTTACTGACAGAATACAACTCTTGCTCTTAAAGTCTGCAAGCATATTACAACATTGTCATTTTACCATTATCTGATAATGCCAGTTATGTTAAACACTTCTTCTATCATTAAGAATTTCATTTAACGTAATTTTACTTCTACTAACTTATACACATAGTCTACAATCAGATATTCACCTGCTTAACAAAACTGACCTCTGAACCCAACCTAATCCTCTCCTACTTCAGGTGCAGTTTCTGTCCTAGTCTTTTAGTGGATGGAAATCCCAACAGGAAATCCATCAGCTTTGCAGGAACTCACTTGTTGGGCTACTCCTTTTCACACTCTGATTGTCGCATGGTGCATTTAACAGACCCAGAAAAACAGTATCAGTTTCAAACTACACAGGTTCCTACCAGTTCTGCAACTATGCAAGGCTTCTCACTCACATTTTTTCAGGCAAACTGGTAATTCAAAGCCTAACTAAAAACAGCTGCTCTCCCCTATGAATTCAATAGGAATCAAAAACCAGACAGAAAGATATTCCTCTGGCACTTGACAGAAAGGAAGAAACAGAACACAAGGCATCAAGAGACGTGCTTTAGCACAGTAATTTACCCTTCATGCTTCCATTTGTTTGAAGGCATATCAGATAAATATGTACCACTGAGAATTTTAAGGGAATTATAATGGTATTACTATACTATACTTTCAAAGCAGGCCAACCTGTCCACATTGAGAAGCCATTATAATGTTATTCAACAGCTCACAGCCTCAGGCTACAAAATTCCTCAGCAACAGAGAGGTTGAGATTTCCCTGAGGAAGTCTTCCTCCTACAGCAGGACATGCATGTGTCTGTAAGCTTCAACATGCCTTCTGGGAGCTGAAGTCACTGAAAAGCAGCTCAACAGAAAAACTAGCAAAGAGAAACAGCCAGTCAGTCCACCTAACAAGCAACTCCCAGCACATGACCAACTGTAGTTCCAGGCAGACCTCTCTCTTCAGTAACCTACTCGTTACTACTGAACTTTGTATCATCAAACTTAACCTGGCTGCAACCAGGCCAGAGCAGATAGAGGCCCCGGCAATCAGTTTCAGTTCATTTGTGTATCTTAGAGAAAGAATAGCAATTTATTTTTTACTGTTTTCTTCTCATACTTCCCCTCTTACTGCTCCCTTGCCCTTCCTTCAAACAGTACTATTTCACTAAGACACAAGTCACCACTTCTAACCTGAAAGTATATGTCCCTAATCACCCAAGCAATTAAGATTTTTTCACAAAATCATAGAAACAGAAAAGACCTTTGGAGGCCTTTACTCCTACCTCCTGGTCTCACAAGGACTATCACCAACACCAGTTTGTGCCTTTGTGTATGTGAGTCTTTGAAGCCACTGAGGATGGAGATAATTCCACATCTTAGGTGACCTGCTGCCCATCATCCCAGAAAAGCTTTTTCTAATATGCCTGAACCTTCCAAGCTGTAATCCATGGTTCCTCCCCATTCTGGTACTGATAAGAGAAACCACAGATTCTTCTTTGTAACTACCATCCTGCTAACTACCCATCAAACAGCTGAAGGCAGCTACTTGGTGAGCTCTCCATCTCCCCTCCACCAAAGCAAACAAGCCCAACTCCCTCAACCTTTTCTTGGAGGTCATGTCCAACTTCGCTAGTCCTTGACTATCTTGCTGGATAGTTTGTGCACAATTCTTATTTCCAATAGCAATACTCATATTTAAAGTGGAAAAGCAGTCATCTCCTGAATAAGAACATATTTTCCGAGTGTGATGCGTTTTTCTCAGAAAGCCTCAAATAGAGAAGATGGTATTTTACAGTCTGTGTGAGTCACAAAATGAAATCTGTGGCAGTGTCGCCACTACTTGGCAAAAATTATAGCTCATGATCAGCAGTAAATAAGACTATTCCACAGTTGAGATACATAACCTGTTAAGTTATTAAACAGAGCGACTAAAAGCCATAATTATCTGTAAAAGCCATAATCCTCTGTAAATCTGTCAGCATAATTAAAAAACATAACACTCATTAGCCTTTCGCATACTGTGTTTGTGGTTTATATGAGAAAAGCAGCAGCTCATATAGGGGTCATATTGGGTCAGCTCAGTCTTGTAACACATAGCAGACTAGCTTAAAAGTTTTAAAATTAATGCAGTAGCACAGCCAAAATTTCTCTTTAAAGAGTCAGGAAATCCCAATTATTGTTTGTGCAGCTGTTAAATTGTATGTTCTATTTTGTGTCACTGTAAATGTTAACATTAACATGGCACTGTAACAAGGTCCCTTCCAAAGTCACTTACCTTCCAATTTTCCTGCTTTAATTCAGACTAACATACAAATCAGAGTACTGCACTTTATTACAGCTCTGAACAGAACTCTCACAGTCGCACATACATAATTCAGCATGCATGTCAGTGTGCAATCACAAATAGAAGAGCTGTGCTCCAGTCTATACTCCTATGCATACACCCATGATGGCAGCCCTCTCCATACACTGCAGATCATAGTCTGGTCATGGGAATCATCACCAACACTGCCTATTGCTTTCAATTTAGTTCAGTGATGACTGCTGGAGAGGGCAGTAATGGCAGCCTTGGGAAACTGGATGAACAGAGAAACATTCTTCCTTCTGCTTATTCTTCCAGATTCTGGAAATCGTGGTCCAAGAAACTGCAGCATAACTAACCTGTCTCTTATATTTGACTGTAGCAGTTCTAACTTTAGCAAACATTTTTTCTTGGATAGGCACAGAACTAAAATGTCCAGCTTTATTTAAAAGTACAATCCCCTCTCAGTAAGTTTAGCACGTTGTGCAACCAGCACATCTCCATTATTTCAGTGCCTGAGCTGCAACATTGAGAATATCTCTGTTGGTAGTCAAGGCACCAGATTTGACCTGCTCTTAATTCTTCCCTGTCTCATTAACTGCAAGGTGAGGTATTGAAGCTGCTTAATGGTTTGTTACTGCCAAGTACTACATAAATCAGAGTGCTGATAATGAGTTATGGAGATACTTGCCTCATCTACTATAACAACCAGCATCCCTTAAACAGAGGTAGCTTATCAAGGGGAGAAGATGCCAATCATTTCATTTGCTTTTTATATCACTAAGCCACCTCTCCCAATAGCATCACTCTCTGTAATCTCAGTGCAAAAGCCAAGGACTGCACCTGCACTTACAGTGAATTGCTATCTTCATTCCCAGATCAGGAAAGCACGGTCACAGCGGGCAATGAGAAGCAAAAGGTTATTTTAGATGCTGCACACACAGCACCTGATCTTTCCCTAGGGCTGTGAATCAGACATCTTCCCTAGCAATCAATTCATGTAAAGAACAAAATGTAACCTCATTACAGTTTTCAGCATTGCTCTGTCAGACACAGGATTAAAGCCAAGAAGGCATCTTCATTCAAAACCCTCTTGTTCCGATTCTGACAACTTTCTGATGGATGTTGTTCTTTGAGGAGAAATTTCTCAAAACTGTTCCTAGCCTCAAAAAGGTCTCCTGTGAAGGTTCTGGGTACAATATAAAGTGGCTCCACATAAGTTACCTGAAGTCATATGAAACGATAAAGGGGATCTAGGGAAAACATGTCTGAATAACTTTTAGGACTATCTTTAGAGCTTTTTTTTTTTTTAAATTTCCCTCTGCTGTCACCATCCCTGTCAACTTCAGGACTGCAGGCTGTTTCCATCCTAAGCAGACATGATGCTCCCAGGTGGCTGCAATTTTCAGACAGGCATATAAACATTACTCATAAATGGGAGCATAACTGGAATCTTAGCAATGTAGAGACCACTCTTGATTCCTGATTTAAAAGCAAGTAGATTTTGTGTTCTGCTCAGATATTTCTGGTACTTCAGAAAGGAAAACTGCATTTTATTTTGCTACTAGTATTTCCAACATGTATGCCCAGTATTTTGAAACCACATTTCCAATGAACTTATAGCTCTGGATCACTAGGTTCTTGTCTTTGGACACCAGAATGCTCTGACTTACTTCTACCAGGCATTTTCCAAGAAAAAAAGAGACAGCCTGTGGCTGCAGAAATGACTAATGTGTCAGCCTGCAAGAAAGACTTTTCTACAACAATTTTAACAATTTTACAAATGCTGTATGTACTTCATTTTCTCATGGTTCTATCCTGCTGGGCAAAGGTGAGGGTATTTATACTTAACAGTAATTCACTCTTACCTACAGAAAACGCAGAACTAGCAAACAAGAATAATGTGCACATTTAGCACTAGCTGACAAGGCTTGTAAATAATAAACAACACCACAGTGAGTCAGAAGAACTATTTACCTTGTGCAAAAGTTTGCATTGCTCTTGGTGCTGAGCATGCAAACTCCGCCACTGGAACCTCAGCCTCCCATTTAACCACTGAAGGTATCGAACATCCACCCTGTCTTCTAGTCCATACTCAGGCGCTGTTTCATTTGTACCTTCCTGGCTGCTAAGCAGATCATCTTCACACTAAAAGCAGAAGAGAACACCAAAATGTTTTGAGTTAGCTTCAACACCTCCATATCGTTCAGTAGTGAAGAACATACAAGGCAAACAGGCAAAGAGGAAGAAAATCCCCCAAAAACAAAGTTCCAGCAGTAGAGAGAAACTGTAATCTTTTAGAATACAGAACTGGGAACAGCCTAAACATGCACTGAAACCTGGAAGAAGTAACAGCTTCTCGGCACTGACACGGTGAGCTATCTCCTCCTTTTCCAAACCCAGGAAGACACAGTGTTCCTGAGACAGCAAGCATGTTCTCTACCCAGATGGGAAAAAAGAAACCACATTTTGACTAGACTCTAATAAGTCAAAGAACATAAAGAACAGACTTAGCAACTCCAGTGTCTTCCGAAAAGTGTTGCAGACTGTACTCGGTGACCCCATTTTGCAAATCAATGCCTTAAACAGGAATGACATTGTGGGACTGTGTTTACCCAGCTACCCACCTTCTTTATTTTTTCCATTCAGCCTTTCCCTTCTTGCAGGATAGGGGAAAAGAAGCAATCATCCAGCTGATATTGGCCGGGAATCCACAGAGGCACTCCCAGCTATAGTTGTACCACCTGTCTTGCCTTGTTTTGCCTTTCTCTAGATTAACTGGGAAAAAAGGGAGAAGCTAAGACCTTCCTTTTGTACATCTTGTCCCAATTCCCTTTCTGCTGCAGGAAAACCAAAAAACACATCCACCACCTTCACCTTCTTAGTGCAATTCCTCCTTGGCTAATGGCATAAAGCAAATAAGATATTTCTGTCATATCTCTTTCCCAAGAAACATGGAAAGAATTCCACCTCCCCCAGCCCCCTGCACAAAGAGATCATTCACATTTACAAACAGATCTCTCTGTTTTCAGCTAAGGCTCTTGCAGATTGCAAATTAAAAAGGGAGGAACACAGGGATTGTTTTACTTCTGATGCCAGTAATATCACTTAGAGCAAGGATGAACTGTCCACTTCATCCAGAAAGTATATACAATAAACACAATCCATAATTCCATTTTTTTTTTACTCTAGCAGATAATAAGTAGAAGAAATAACATACAAGGCCTGGTTATTCCGAATGGGCGTTCACCAGCTTAGTAAGAGTGTCCCAGTTGTTGGATTCTCAACATTTCTTTAAAGTGAAAATTTAAAAAGCCTGCTTGAAACATGACTGCTTTCAAGAAAACACTTAATCTCATATTTGGACCCATAGACCTTGATGGTATTTAAACATAGGTGCTTTCCTGCTTCACAGACTTCCATGTTCAATAAAATCTTACAAAGATTCCATTGGCAGGCAAAGCATGAATGTAATTCCAATTTTGATCCTAAACTAAAAATGCAAACTGTAAAATGAAGAGTTTAAACTTGTCCTAAATGCAGATTTCAACAGAAGCTTATCTATAGCCATGATCAGATAACCCCCTAATACTTGTTTTAACCTAAATATCACCTCAGTTGAGGCCTCTAACACAATGAGTGTTCGTATTATTTATAAGCACAAAAATGCTGTTCAGTTCACATAACAAAATGTAACAGGATTACAGGATTTTTTTTTTTCCCCTTTGCTCTGTGGCAAAGATAAACACACACTATAAATCACAGGGGCATAGGGTTGGTAAAGGGCTTCTCCTTTTAAAGGCACAGATCCATCTTAAAAAAAGAAGTATCCCCTCTATGCCAACTGTGATGTCCCTGTTTTTCCCCTAAGGCACTGCAGTCCTAGCTAAGTACCTTCATGGTTCAAATTGCCTTGCCTCCAGCAGGAGAGGTTTCTGAACTCTGAAACCATACAGATACGATTTCCAGGTTGTCCATAAACATGATGATTGGACATTAGTCACTACAGGAGAGAAAATGCACGTGTAAACAACATTAAAACACTTCACATAAGCACCCATTAAGCCACAAGGCTGAACACAGACTATGGATTCCATAATACACAGCTCAACCCCGACTTCCCTGGATACAGGTTTCAGAGTAGCACAAATACTGCTCCCCTGCAGATTTGTTTCAGGAAAGAATGGCATTAGACTCGATTGCTTTGGCACTACAGTGACAAACACCATGCAGAGCTAATGTTATTGTAGCAACCTGCCTTATTAATATTAAAATAAGGAAGCCAGCCAATGCATTTTTTAACAGGATCTCTCTATTATTTATTTCACAAACTGTGAAAAAAATTTACTTTTGCTATGAAATACTTAGCCTGGCATAAAGTAAACAAGGTAAAAAAAAGGTCTTGCATATTATACAGTGACCTCAATTTCAAGCGCTGTCTTTACAATCTAAGACTATTCACTGCTCCTCCAGTAGGAGAAAAAAAAAAATTTCACTGAAATTCCAGCCCAAGCTAGAGCCCTTGCTCCAAATATCCCTGTGAATTTATCTAACCTATGCATCATTACAGGTACACACCTACAGTCACTTCTGAGATACATAAGTGCATATTACTTAGTTAAAGTCATGAAGAGAGAAGCCAAGGCAAGTTCCCAGGGATATCAATGGCCTCCCCACACTTAGAATGTTCCACAGCAGCTCTGGAAGAGATAATTTCACAGCCACTTACCAGAGAAGCTTTTTGCTTGTAAACTGTTGGCTGAGAATAATGTTTCTCTTTGATTCTGTTTCAGAGAAAGGAGGCACATGGACTCTAGCTACAAAATGGTGCCACAGGCTTACAGTACAAAAGGCCCATCAGCACATATCGATATCCTCACTGCAGTGTCAGAGTCTTTCCCTGTTACACTGGTGGTATCACTGTTCGTCTTGGTGAACAGAGCAATGTGGAATTGACAGCGCACCTGTGATTAGTGTAACTTAAGCAGAAGCTAGAATGAAGCCTCTCAATTCCATTCCCACTGTAACTCAACCCAACCAAACTTTTCTTCCACAGAGCTCAACATCCTGCTGTTAGAAGACCTCAATATCTATTTATTGGCAAGACTCAGAAAAACAAGCACAAGCCTGATGAAGATGACATGCATCTATCTACATGAACTTTCTTCAAGCCAATTCCTGAACTGCCACACTACCCCGCACTTCAGCAGAGCTCAAACCCAGCTCTCCTGTGTTAAAAGACCCAGACAAATAATAGCTGAACCCCACAATAAAAAGACATTCTAGGACAGCATGCATCACTATCCCAACAAAGGTAGCTCACAAAATACAAAACCTACCCCAAGCTCATAAATCCTTCTCAGGCATAGTCAGAGCTAAACGCAGTTTATGTCCTAAGATTATATATTTAAAATATTTGCAAGGCTGCCTGGAATTCAGTCTTCAACCCCATATGAGTTTTGCCCTAAACATTCCTCTCTAGGCTATTTAAAGTCCAATTGTTATGTAAAAAGATGCCAGCTCATTCTTCAAAACGTGTGAATGCATTTATGGTTAGACAACACAGCAAGTGCAAAGAGCCAGCACAGTCTTCATGGCACAAGAGAGCAACACATATAAAAGTACTTAGAGAAAAGGAATAAGGAGTGGGGGAAAGGAGAATGTGCAAAAAAAAAGTCATGGGGTTATTTCAGTTTTCATTCACATTCCATACATCTGAGCAAACAACTTACATGCAACTTGCTTATAGAGATATTAAAGATTAAGAAGTTTCAACTTTTATAGCAGAAATAAAGCGTTTGTTTGTTTGAAAAACAAAGCAATTCCATGGTATTGGAAATCGGAGCAGGTCTACCAAGAGTGGATGGAGATTAATAGAGTACATCATCATATAAATAGTTTATCAAAGAATAGCATAAGGATGTGTTTGTAGACATGTGGAAAGGGAGCGTTTTTTGCAGTATTAGCTCCATTTGAGGATTTGAGTGACCTGGTATGCAGTTGACCTTGCTCTGTTCATAGACTTTGAATTAAGTAAACTCTTTAAAGCAAAATTCCTTGCAGATTCAATGCAGATGTTACAATACACTACAAGCAGGGCTGGGAAGAAAACCCTTCATTGTGCAACCTCATCACACTTTTACATTTTCAGTACTTTCCAGTTCATATAGGTATCTTAATGCTTATAAATTCTTACTTAATAAATGCACTATGGCCTGTTCACACAATGGACTATACTGCCTGCATTGCTGTAAAAACAAGGTTATGGCAGTGCTAGTTCCCTGAGAGATGCTCTTTCCTGACTAGAAGCTGCCATCTGTTGGTAAAGGAGGGAGCACGGCCAACACCAGCTCATCTCCAGCATGGGGTGTGTGGCTCTTCCCCAAACAACTTCCAAGTCCCTCCAAGCACCAGCTTTCTGCTTCCACATTTGGACAGCCAGCAAACAGCTTGCTGGTCTTCCTCTGGAGAAGCAGCCCTATTGGATAATCCTACATGGATATATGCATTAAGTCAACTCCCTGACATTAACCTTCCAGCAGAGCAAAATGAAGGAACTGCCATTGGAAACCTCCAGAGCACACTCCCAGCCCACTGCTCACTTGCACCCGAGTTAATCTGGGTCTAGACAGAAAACATTTACTCTCAGGTACTACTTAAATCTTAACTACACTAAGCAGACAGCCTGGTATCACAAAGGTGGGAAGGAGCGTATTTAGGTCCCTTGCTGCAAGACTCAGGAAAGGCAAAGCAAGCACATAAATCAAGCCAATAAAGTGCTTCTGCAGCTCCTACTGAGCACTCCTTTCGAGCCACTCATAATTCAGACAATGGTTTTGATGTGACACAACATATGTTAACCCAGGTAATTACTGATCTTTAAACAGAGCATAATTTTTTTTAAAAAAAACTAAACACCATAGCCAGAAATAATAGTATCAGACATGCTTTCTTAATTAATACAGCCATATATCTATGTGCAGGAGGGGAAAATGTGAAAAGGAACAATTTGAACAGATGAATGTGAAAGGGACAATGCTATTTTCATTAATGGCATCATCAACAACACTAATTGGATTTCCTAGTAGACAAGGTAGGATCCAGCTTAGGCATATGCATAGACGGATAGATGGTGTAAGAACCCACTC